TTGTATTTTATTATATTATCGTTCTTTTAGATTTGATTGTTTTTATAACATTCATTGATTTATGGTAGTATTAACAACTTTTGCTTAAATATAAAAAATTTATATTTAAGACAGATTTTATTTTTCGTACTAGTCCTCGTATCAATGGAATGCCCTTGATTAAAAATAAAAGCCGGCAATCTATTGTGGTTTTATGAAGGCGATCATGATAACAACCATTTTATTGGAAGTACTAGTTGTCAGAGCCGTATCTTATATGAGTTGGATAAAATAAAAAATTAAATATAAATATTTAAACAAAAATTTAGTTAAATTTGAAATTTTAGATTTGAAATTTAAAATTTAAAATTAAATTTAAAAGGAAACATATTAAAATACTATATGAGTTGTAATATTGTAATTTATCGGTTATTATTAATTAAGACAATTATTAATTAAGGTGTAAATATGTTGTGTTAATTAAGAAAAAATTAAAAAAAATGAGAAAATGACAAATGAAAAAAATGTTTATTCAAAAACACCAAAAAATATATGTGTTCAAGTTAATAACAGAGTGACATGTGACAAAATTATTTTCATTTATTATTAGGGAGGATTAAAAAATTGGCTAAAATTTAAAACTTTGTTTCCTTTCTTTCAAAAAAACTACCTATCGTGTGGTAATTTTTGTATTTCTGTTGTTTGTCTTATGGTTTATAATCATCTTAGACACACATTCTATTGAAACTCCTTCCTTCTTCTATAAATACCCATAACTGTCTCTACATTTTCTTCATCTAACGTGTTGCGGGTTCTTCGGTTTTATCATATATAACTTAAAAATGGCAAAAAGGTCAATTGCCACCTATACAATCCTTCTCCTCCTTTTCGTTCTTGCCATTTCAGGTGCTCAATCTATCAAGTTGCTTTAGATACTTTTCTAATTTTTTACTTGTTATTCTGATTTTGTTTCCATAAATGCTAACAATTTAATTTTCTTAATTGTTTCTTTACAATCAAGAGCAATATCAAGTTATATAAATAACGAAACTTGTGTGACTTTTGCATGATGTCAACAGAAATCGGTACAGTGAAAGGAAAATTATGTGAAAAGGCGAGCCAGACTTGGTCTGGAAAGTGTAATTCCAAGAAGTGTGACAAAAAGTGCATAGAATGGGAGAAGGCAGTCCACGGAGCTTGTCACAAGCGTGAAGGGAAAGGCGGCTGCTTCTGCTACTTTGACTGTGACAAGAAACCTCCAAAAGATGCAAAACCAGTTCCTCCTGATGCCGTACCACCGCCTCCAAAAGATGGTTCCCCTCCAAAAGATGCGCCTCCTGCTGATGGCGGCGGTTCCCCTCCTCCTGCCGAGGGTGGATCCCCACCTCCTGCCGAGGGGGGATCCCCACCTCCGGCTCCTTCACGACACTAAAAGCCTGCTCATGGTAAAAGGAAAAAGGCTCATCAGGGACTAGGTTGTAGCCAAAAAATTGCCACAACTTGAGCTTCTGTCAGCCTAGATAGAAAGCCTTATATGATAAAAATAAATGAGAAGATTCCTCCTAATTAACAAATTTAGCATTTTCAAAGGTGTAATATGTGTTTCGTTTTTAATCAATAACTTAAGATTCAAGGCATTAGTACTTTGTCAATTTAAGAAATCTACTTTTATAATCATGTCCAATAGCACCAATAAAAAAAATATATGTTCTTGTATGCAAAATATTCCAACCCATGCATGTAAATACATAAAAATATTGTATGGCATTTATATATTTACAATACTAGAAAAACTGGGAAATATATACCGACAAATTAGCGACAGCCAAACGAAAACAAATTTCGTCGATAATTACGGACGACATACCGACGACTCCACTTTACTGACGGATTAGCTACGCTTTAGCGACTGATGCCTCTACGACCTTGTTTAACCTGAATACCAACGAAATGCCGAAACCATGATTTTACCGACAGATTAGATATGATTTTCATCATTTTTTACTCTCTTTGACTTAGTTCCGACATGACCTTTTACCGACATATATCCTGTCTTTAATCTATCTGTATTATCGATTTATTTTTCTAAACATATGTAAAATTTCCAGTTTTTTTGTCAATATGCCGAAAGAAAATCAGTACTCAAAATTTATTAATAAATATATTCAAATACAAACCTCACTAAACATTAAAGATAATGTGTCAAAATATACAAAAGTGTCCCACTACCAAGTTTTACAAAGTTGTTCTATACCAACTAATAAATAACACAAAAGCAAACAATACCAAGTATGTTTACATATTCCGTTGTCTACAAAACTAAGCAATATCATCGGGTAGATTACGGGTTTGATTACCGAGCATATTCCATTTTTTGAAAAACATGGTCATTTGTTCTAGAATTTGCTCTTGTACTTGTCGCATGGTAGAACCTTCCTCACACAACCTTACAACCTAAAAAATGGTAACAAAAATAACAAATAACACAAAAGCAAACAATACCAAGTATGTTTACATATTCCGTTGTCTAAAAAACAAAGAAATATAAATGTACTTAAGTTTATTCTAACAATATGCTTAACATTTAAACCATAATAGGAATGTCATTTTGTTTATTATAGCAATGTACTTTAGTTTCTATTTATTGCAATATATTTAAGTTTTAAACCATAATAGCAATGTATTTTTTAATTATCAACTTAATCCAAAATAGTTTTCAAATGATTTTTACTTTAAAGCTGATATGTGCAGTGACATATATTAGACCATGATAGGTATAAGATAGAATGATAACATAATCTTAGTTTTCGATTCTAACTTATCCGAAGATATTTAGTATAAATCGTGTCTATAACATTGTCGACATGGTCATATAAACATGAAGTGAATCACTTTGCTCCATTCAGATGTGATCTTGGTATAATTTAGCTTAGAGTGAAATATTGTATGCGAATCTTGTTTACTTGGAAATATGACAAATGCGCCATTCACATTTAATTGTGAAAGACGCAACGATTTGTTGGGCCTCATTTACACGGACTTGTGTGGACAATTTATATCTACCATACGACATGGTGAGAGATATTTTGTGACATTGACTAATGATTTCAGTAGATATGGATATGTTTATATGATTAAACATCGGTCTGATACCTTTGAGGTGATCAAGACATTCCAAATGGACATAGCGAATCAACTAGCTAAGATGATTATGATTCTCCGATCTGAAAGAACTAGAGTGTATCGTACTCATAAGTTTTACGATTATCGTAAAAGTTGTGGAATAGCTTTGCAGCATAATGTTGTGTCTAAGAGGAGAAATCAAACATTGCTTGATATGGTTAGATTAATGATGAGTCGGGCTACACATCTGATAAGTTTCTGGGGCATTGCCTTAAAGATTAATGCTTATGTCCTAAACCTTGTACGAACTAATATGGTTTCAAAGAAGCGATATGAAATGTGGAGTGGAGTTTGTTCCTCACTGGCACATATAAAAGTATGGGTTGTGAGGCTTTCGTTCATCACGAAGCAATTGACAAGCTTGATCCGAGATCAAAGAAGTGTTACTTCATTGGGTATCCCGACAAGTCCTGTGGATATTTGTTTTACAAACCCTCTGAGAACAAAGTTTTTGTTGCTTGAAGGGCAGTTTTCCAAGAGAGGGAGTTGATATCTAAAGAAACTAGTAGGAGACAGATTGATCTTGATAAGATTCAAAAGTCGACTAATAAAGAACTTGAAGTTGGCACTAGCACTCAAACTGAGGTTAAACGACCCGTTGTGGAATCTAATTTACCTCCACATCCTCTCATAGATTTGATAGAGAGCATTGTGCTCCTGAGTTTTATGTTCCGATTTTACAAAGGGCGATGACACACTACGTGGAAAAGATGAACCAAGCAACTACCCGGAAGCCATGGCAAGCCCAGAGGCTAGAAAATGGAAAGAGATGCTCGAGAGTGAGGTTCAGTGCATGTGTATTAACCAAGTTCGTAACATATTTTATCCCACACCTGGCCTTAAAACGGTGGGTGTAAATAGGTCCTCGAGAAGAAGACCGACATGGATGAGAATGTACACACATTCAAAGCTCGACTGGTTATGAAGAGTACACTTAGACTCAAGGAATTTACGATGATGAAACCTTGTCACCAGTGGTTATGATTAAGTCAATACGATACTACTTGCCATAGTAGAATTTGATGATTATGAAACTTGACAAATGGATTTAAAAACCGCTTTTCTTAACGGAAAACTATCACATGATGTATATATGAAACAACCAAAAGGTTTTATATAGTCTAAGTATCCGAATAGAGTGTGTTTGCTTAAGAGGTCCATTTGTGACTTCAAACAAGCATCTTGTAGCTAGAATCTTTTTCTTAGATGAGAAAATCAAAGATTTTGGTTTTTCAAGAAGCGAATATGTGACATACGTATATGTTAGACCTAGCGGGAGCTCTATTGTCATCCTTGTAATGTATGTCAATGACATACTACTCATAGGAAAAGATGTCCCAACATTGCGAAGTGTAAAATCTTGGTTTGGGATATATTTGGCTAGGAAAGACTTCGGAGACGCAGTATATATACTTGGCATAAAACACCTATAGAGATAGATCTAAGCGACTAATCAAATTAAGCCAAAGCACATAGATAGATAAGATCTTTGATAAATTTAAGATGCAAGATTCAAAGAAAGGTCTCGTGCCTATGCAACATGGCATGACATTGATTAAGGCTTAGTATCCCATTTAAAAATGAGGAATTGGAAAGGATGAGTAGAATCTCCTAGGGTTAAAATCTCTCCATTGGAAGATCACTTAATGGTTTGGACATATCCTTTATGACATGTGAAAAATTAAGACATGTAACTTATTTGGTTGTAGCTCCCTATAAATAGTAATGTCTTATTATTTATAGAGTAGAGCTCCCACTTTAGATTAGATAGTTTGATTACGTAGTTGAGCAAACACATGCCCCTATCGAGTTTTATTCTACTTCTCACATTTTTATAAAATTGAGCTTAAATCTAGGTTTATTGTCTTGACAAGTGATATCAGAGTTAAACCATAAATATTCAAGTGACTATTCATGGAACGGTTTGTGATTTGACAACATTCTTAAATAATCGATTCATGATTCGATAACTTTTGCTGAGCCTAACAAAATCATTAGTAATCTTGTACATCTTTTTGGATTTATTATTCATCATGATTTTCTGATTAGATCTAATTCATTTCAAAACCCAATTATATTTTATCCAATCCAATTGTTAATGATATAGCAAATTTTTTTCTTCCATTTACTATTCATTGTATTCTTCTATGATCCATTTGTTTGTTGGGCTATTCAAGCCCAATGTAGTCAAATTGATTTAGATTTGTTACATCTCAAGCTCAAATTAACATTTAACAACAGACCAGTACAAAAAGACCGGTCTTGGATTGGGCCAAAAAAAAGGCTATCAACGAACCGGTCTAAAACGAGACCGGACCGAAAAAAGATAGGCCCTAAAAAAGACCGGACTGAAAAAAGACCGAGTCGAGACCATCCAGGACCAGTCTGAAAAAGTCCGGACCGTTCAGAGACCAGTCCTAGAAGACCGTAATGTTCTGAGACTGATACAAGACCGGTCGAAGTCCGACTGAGACCGGGCCGATAGTGGTTTTAAAAAAGGTTCGGTGGCCAAACATTATTAATATATCATTTTTGGGTTAATTACACAATTTTTTTAATCACATATTATATAAATTATTTCACTTTCCTCTTTTATCAAACTTAAATTGTCATTTTTAATAAATTTTAATCTATCATTTTGGCGTTAATTACGTATTTGTTAACAGATGCAACTCGATGTAACATTTGATTTCGGGTACACTTCAGATTATATATATATA